ATTTGAAAACAGATGTTTTGGGAATTTATGGTTTATGCAAATGGTTTCGATTAATTAAAATTTTTTGTAAAAATTGGGTCGTTACAAATTCCGGATGCATCGCTTTTGTGCTTTAAAAGAAAAAGACCACATATATCTAGAATAATCATCAATAAGAACTAGAATATAAATATTACCCGCTTGAGTGGGAGGGATCAACCAGTCCACAAATATCTCCAAGCACCATCTCGAGAATATTTGTAGCTCTATAATTAGCTTTCTTTGCAAACGACTGCTTTGTTTGTTTTCCAACCATGCAAGATTCACAAAGTTGGTCTTGATGTTGGATTGTCGGTACCCCTTTAGCTAGCTTGTGCATCAAGTTTATCGCGCCAAAATTAATGTGATGTGGCCAAGTCGCGGGTGCCATAACCAAGCTTCCTCATTAAACTTGGCTTGTAAGCAATGTGGTTTTCCAACTTTTAACTTTATGTTGTAGAGTCGATTTTCACTTCTCGGTACTTTCATAAGTAATCTTCCATCTCCATCTGGTATGGTTAGAAAATCACCTCGCATTCGGATATCACAACCGGCTATTGTAGATTGCCCGAGGCTAATAACATTGCTACGAAGTGATGGGATGTAATAAATATCATTCATTAGTTTTTGCTCACCGTTTTTCCTTTCGAACAAAATTGACCCTTTTCCTTTAATGCTAACATACGATCCATCTCCAAATCTCACTCTACCCGTTATTTTTTTATTTAATTCAGAAAAATAAGAGTACTTGCTGTTCATGTGGTTGCTCGCACGATTGTCTAAGTACCAAATTCCGTCTTCGTCAGCATTTGCTTCAGCTTTCGGAGGGATATATTTATCTTCTTTCAAGAACATCGTTTCTTGAATTATATTCATCACAAAGAACGTTCCTTCTTCATGATTTATATCTCCTTCGTCTGATTAAGGTTAGCCTCGTTATTTTTTATTCGATCCGGACATCTTGAAGCAAAGTGTCTATATTTATCATACCGGTAACATTGGATGTTTGAGAGATCTCTTTGCTCACGTTGTTTTCCTTTTTGTTTTAGATCTTCGCGATTTTTAGAGGATTCTGAGTGACCGTGATTTTGGGTGTTACCCCGACCACGTCCACCACCACGTCCTCTTCCTCGGTTATTTGAACCCCGACCTCTACCTCTTGATGAATTGGTGTTTCTGTTGGACGATTTAGTTTTGGAATAAAGTAATTTATTTTGAGTCTCGATTACTTTGTCTTCACCCTTGATTCTTTCTTCATAAGCTTTTAAGCAACCAAACACGTCTTCAAAGCCAATTGTTTTAAGGTCCAAAACTTGTTCAAGGGCTGCAACAATGTAGACAAATCGCCCAGGGAGAGTCGTAAGAAACTTCTTCGCAAGCTTCTGTTCAGTCATAACTTCTCCTAGTGAGGCGGATTTCGAAGCAATTCCGGATAATTTCGCAGCGAAATCATCTATTGTACCAGTATCACTCATCTTTAGATTTTCAAATTCTGTGATTAGAGTTTGGAGTCGGACTTCCTTCACACGATCAACTCCTAAGTTACGACTTGTAATCGCTTCCCACATCTCTCTTCCGGTTTTCAAATTACCGATTTGAAGGATTAAATCCTCCGGAATCGATTGAAACAACAATCCTTTCACGATGTTGTTTTTCTTCACGTCATCTAGTCCGGGATCAATCACATCCCAAACGCCATGAATCCCGAGTAGCACCTCCATGCGCATCCTCCAAATTGTGTAGTTCGTCGATGTCAAAGTCGGACATTGGAACGTGAACGACGTGTGTACCTTAGCCGGTGGTTGGGATGATTCTCCTCCCGACATCGTGATTCGATTTCTGATTCCTCCTTAGGTGTCGATTTATAAAAAATATCGTAACCCTCCACACAAATCAGAAAACTGATTTAATAATATATATATATATATATATATATATATATATATATATATATATATATATATTTCAAACAATTGATAGATCAATAAAACATGTTTTTTTTTCTTCTGCACACAAATTAGAAAACTAATTTAATGAGATTTGGGCCAATTAGTGAATAAAGGGTTTCTGATTTGAACAAGGGCCCAAAAAGAAGAAAAACACGTTTTTTTAGGGCAAAACACGATCTCTTCCTCGCAGCAGGTTCACTTTGTGTGTTTGACGATCTTCCAAAACAGCTTACGACCTCAAGATTATTCACGAGCCAAGTTTAAACTGTCGACGATTCTGAACAGGAGAGTTTTAATCGCCGATTTCTCTTTCTGCTATCACGATCTCAGAATAGGTAACAATCTTCTAAGAGATTATTTGCAGTCGCTAAGTTCTATTCCTACACAGATTCTCCTCACGAGAATTACTAAGTAGTTTTACTGCTTGATTTCTCCAAACAGATTATGGAATAGGAATCGATTTCAGGAACTTATTTTTCTGTTTACATGAACTTGCCTTCTTCCCTTCTTTGCTTTGATACCAATTCAAGGTAAACAGGAAACTAGAAAACAAAAGGCTACTGCATAAACTGTTTATGCAGGTTTTATTGAAGAAATATAGCTCTAAAACTTGAATCGATGATAAATTGAGTACATGATCATCTCTCATTATATACTATACAAAACACAATAGAATATAAATAGGATTATGTTATCTACACTTTTCTAATATGCGCTCCTTATTGCTCAAGGAAGTAAGGAGTACTTGGACAACACTCCAAGACTTGTGATCTGGACCAAACACTCATAACTTGCCACATTGGACTTAGATATTCACCAACAATAATTAACATTTTTTAATTTTAAATCAATCAAAGTGATATATTAGTTTAATATATAACATAAACACATCCTTATTATCGTAGTTGTCAATGAACACTATAAGACATTATTTATTTTAATTTATAATATACTTAATCAATTAAATCTATGTATGAAAGAACGTGTGTTTGGCGATCTTCCAAAACAGCTTACGACCTCAAGATTATTCACGAGCCAAGTTTAAACTGTCGACGATTCTGAACAGGAGAGTTTTAATCGCCGATTTCTCTTGCTGCTATCACAATCTCCGAATAGGTAACAATATTCTAAGAGATTATTTGCAGTCGCTAAGTTCTATTCCTGCACAGATTCTCCTCACGAGAATTACTAAGTAGTTTTACTACTTGATTTCTCCAAACAGATTATGGAATAGGAATCGATTTCAGGAACTTATTTTTCTGTTTACACGAACTTGCCTTCTTTCCTTCTTTGCTTTCTTCTTTGCTCTGATACCAATTCAAGGTAAACAGGAAACTAGAAAACAAAAGGCTACTGCATAAACTGTTTATGCAGGTTTTATTGAAGAAATATAGCTCTAAAACTTGAATCGATGATAAATTGAGTACATGACATCTCTCATTATATATACTATACAAAACACAATAGAATATAACTAGGACTCTGTTATCTACACTTTTCTAATATACACTCCTTATTGCTCAAGGAAGTAAGGAGTAAGGAGTACTTGGACAACACTCCAAGACTTGTGATCTGGACCAAACACTCATAACTTGCCACATTGGACTAAGATATTCATCAACAATAATTAACATTTTTTAATTTTAAATCAATCAAAGTGATATATTAGTTTAATATATAACATAAACACATCCTTATTATCGTAGTTGTCAATGAACACTGTAAGGCATTATTTATTTTAATTTATAATATACTTAATCAATTAAATCTATGTATGAAAAAACGTTGTTAATTTTGGATATCCTGGTTCGGTTATGATTTTCGAGTTTTTATATAAACAAAGATCAAACCCATTTATCCATACCCTTTCTTTTTTATTTCGATTGACAACTTAGAAACATATTTTTTAATAAATAATAAAAAAAGATTTCAGTTGCTACAACAATAAGAATAATATATCATACCTTGACTGATTCTTTGGATTCAGATAATACAAAGTGATGAGTTGGTTATTACTTATATTGTTAACCTAAAAGAATAGTCACTCTAAACAAAAAAACCAGACGGTTTATCGAAACGGTTCAGTTGTTCGATTTTTTTGGTTTTGGCTTTTCATTGAGTTTTTTGCACAACTTAGCAATTATATTGGTTTTAATATTTAACTCACACCCTTTAAACACAGTAAATTTTTTAGAATATATATAATTTTAATTTAATAATAGGTGTCCGTGTACTAGTTTTCACATATATCATTGTATTATCGTATGCGATTAGGGCCTCGTTTTTTACTTTTGCCCCGGGCCTCAAATTAGCTTGGACCGGCCATGGATATTCCCGTCAGCGATTTCGTTCTATAGCATCCCAAAACCACGAAACAAAGGAAACTGAAGATGAGACGAGAGAAACCTAAGAAGGTCTAAGCCATGTGTGATATCATGGGGAAAATGAAAAAAGAATAAAGAAAAAATGCAAGTTAGTCTCCTTTGGCTGGCGGCTAATTTTGACTATATTTTGTAAAGTCAGTAGGTAAAATTGTTAAATTCGTAAATCTCTCTCAAACACATATCGTTACGGAGTTTTTGATCATAATGGGGTGGTTGAAAAAAAATATTTACCATTTTAATGTTCTTTCAAAACTATTTACCATTTTAGTGTTTTTCTTATTTTTCTTTATTTTTTAGTTTCCTTTTCAGTTTTTTTTTAATTTAAATATCTTTTTTTTCTTTTTTTCTTTTTTATTCCTCCTTTTTATTGTTTTTCTCATTTTTCTTTACTTTTTAGTTTCTTTTCAGTTTTTTTTTAATTTAAATATCTTATTTTCCTTTTTTTTTCTTTTTTATTCCACCTTTTTATTGTTTTTTTATATATATATTTTTAAATGACAGCTTTCATTTTAGTTTTATTTATCCTTTTTTTACTGTTTTTATCCTTGATGTAGTTTTATCAAGAAATACCAATTTCCGGTTTGGGTATGATCCCAAAACTGATGATTACAAAGTGGTGAAGCTTACAGAGATTTTCGAGCCACGAAGAATGGCACCAGTTGAGGTTTATAGCGTGAGAAAAGGTAAAGGTTCCTGGGAGTTGATATCTCAAAGAATTCCATCACACCTGCAATGCATTAGAGATCAAGATTTAGTTTGTGTAGATGGGCATGAAGGCCATCTTCATTGGCTTTGTTTTACTTATATTGGTGGGAAGTTGACACAATTGATATTGGCATTTGATTTGGGTTCAGAGACATTCAAGGAGATACCTTTTCCAGATTCTTTAAGAACATGTTGCTTTGGAGACCGGTTGAATGTGGTGGGAGTTTTGGGTGGAAAGGTTTGTGTGATGTCAAGGGTAAGAGATACTGATTGTGAGGTGTGGGTGATGGATGAGTATTCATGGGTCAAACGTCATGTGTTTTCCGGGTTTAGTGGTGGTGATCAAATATTTCCATGTGGATTTACATCAAGCAATCAGTTTCTTTTTAGATTTACGAATGTACTTTATCGTTATGGTTTGTATGATCCAGTTATAGCCAAGACTAAAAACTTCAAGATTCCTGGAAGATCTGTTGGATGTAAAGTTGTTGAGTATGTTGATAGTCTTGTTTGGATAAATCGAATAATTGAAGTGAAGAGGTATCAGTGATATGGAGAGGTAAATCCTTTAGATTGTCTATTAATTACAGCTTTTAGTTTCAGTTTTTAGTCCATTAATTACATCTACATTATCCACTGCATCAGTGATATGTAAGCATCTAGCCTTAGTGATATTTAAGGAATTTTTTGAATTTTCTTTTATTTATTCATTGTGAGTGCATGTTTGATAAAAAAAAAAGGAATTAACTTAGGTGCTGTTTGTTTTTCCGAAGTGAAACTGTCTGAAGTCTGCGGACCACCTCTGCAGCTCTCTGCAGCAGAAGAGGTGGACCAAAGTGCTGCAGACTGTAATGAGAAGCATGTTTGTGTTTTTAACGGCTGCAGATATTAAAAAAATTAAAATAAAATAATTTAATAAACCGAAAATAGTTTTTTAATACCAAAAATTTAATAATTGTAGTCTTAAAACATTGAAATAAAATTCAAACAACCAAATTAGTCTTACAATAACATTTTTAAATAATATTCATACAACCAAACTTTAATAATTTTCATTCCATATTTTGCATCAATTGTTCGGTAATTTCATCTCTTAACTGGGTCATATATTCACGGTCCGCTGCAGTACCATGTGTTGGAATCTCATCTTCATCATTATCAACGACTGCATTGTTATTCCGAACCGAGACATTTGGTTCGTCATATCGTGCAAAAAACTCATCACGTAGTCCCTCTCTTCTTATAAAATTATGAAGCGCAAAGCATGCTAGGGTAATGTTTCGTTGTGTAACCAATGAGAATGGTGCCATCCTCTTCAATATAGGGAATCGTGCTTTCAAGACACCAAAAGCACGCTCAATGACATTCCGAAGTTTTGCGTGTGCATGGTTAAATTTTTCTTTATTCGTTAATGCACGTCTTCGACGGAAATCTCCAAGCCAATACCTCACATTACGCTACGGTGCCATAAAACCTCGAATGTTTGCATAAGCGGCATCACAAAGATAATATTTATCTGTAAAAAAATCAAAAAAAAAAAAGTCATTTATTTTTTCAAGCTAAGATAAAACTATTTAAATAACAATAAATTTACCTGGTGGTGGAAGCGGGAATGGTGCATGTGGATTTGCTAATGCTTCTGATAAAATTCTAGAATCGTGTGCTATCCCTTCCCAACCGGCCACAACAAACGTAAACATCATGTTGAAGTCACATATTGCCAATACGTTTTGGTAACAATCGCCTTTTCCCCTACTTCTATATAAATCCCGTTTGTTTGCAGGGACAACAGCATGTATCAAAGTGCCATCAAGTGCACCAACTGCTCCCTTGAACACCCGTCGTAGCCTCCTATTATGTCCCGGAATGTTTGGATTCGGATTAAAAGAAGTTGGCACTATAATGTCATGTGCGAAAAGCAGCATTTTGTCCAACACTTCATGAAAAAACTTATGAATTGTTTGCTTTGAGTGTTGAAATCTCCGCTTGATAATCACATAACGTTGGTTATGACCGATCATCATCAAAAACATAGCCATCTTCTCCTCAACCGACACATGTTTGCTATCCTTTAACGCGTAGTTTACTCTAAAATGAGCACATAGCCGGACAAATGATTCACGGGACATGCGTAACACTTCAACACATTGTAGAGGATTACGGTGAAGTAATTCTAACGTAAATTCATGTCCCGTCATTTCCGAATCGTTGTCCCGCACTCGTTTTACACCCTTTTCCAAAAGTAGCGGACGTACAAGTACATTAGAATTATGAGTAGTATCTTTTTGTCGTGATCCATTAGGAACCTATTAATCAACACAAGTTACCAAATATAAAACTCAAGTACCAAATAACATAACCAAATAACCAAAATACATAATCACATAGTTCAAGTTCCAAATACTACAAATAACATTCAAGTACCAAATAACCACATACTACAAATAACATTCAAGTACCAAATAACCACATACTACAAATAACATCCAAGTACCAAATAACCAAAAAACATAACCACATAGTTCTAACACATGCAATTAAAACCTAAACAATTCAAATATGTAAACTTAATGGACAATCTTTCCATCCTTCAATACTCCTAAACTTGTAGCTGTCATCTCGATCCATCCTCTTAATATTTGTGGATCATTAGGCAAATTTACCCACATCTCTCTCATATTCATGGTCCCTCCAAAAATATGATAAGCAGCAAATCGTAGAGGGTCTACCGGGCCTAACTCGAGTAACTCTAGCTTCTCTAAACATTGGGGAATTGTTGGCCCTTGAGTCAAATGTCGTAGAGCTTTCTGCATCTCCAATGCTAAATCATCAGCAGTAATAGAAGCTTTAGGGGAGGCACTAGAAGGTGGCTCAGGTGAGGCACTAGCAGCTCGAGGTCTAGGAGTTGAGGGTTTAGCTCTTTTGTTGGGGTTACCAGAAGGTGAAGCAGCAGAAAGTGAAGCATCAGAAGGTGAAGCAGCAGAAGATGGTGGCTGAGTGGTATGATTGGAAAAGATATCATCCTCATCTATGTTAACAGAAGGGGTGTCCATAAGTTGTAGTGGTGCGACATGGAAAGAAGATGATCCATGTCCCGATGGTGTTTGGGATGTGGCATAGCTGAGATTACCAGAGGCACTATTTCCATCAAAGAGTTCTGCACAAAGCTCTGGAAACAACAATGGGACAGTTTTCAAGAAGCGGCTTTCGGATGTCCCTAAACCCAATCAATGTAACAAAAGTAGTATAAGAATAAATGACAACTATATAAACAAAATACATATTAATATATATATATATATATATATATATATATATATACCTTTTTAAAGTCCTCCCACTCCTCATTTGTTAAGTTAAAAGTGTTTGTTTGAGGATTGTAAAGGTTGCCAGTTTTGTTTTTCAAGTATAACCATCCCGTGTATTTGGCTTTAAGGTTGTCATAGGCGTTTTTCAATTGTCTTTGACTCAAATCCACACCAAACTTTTCCTTAATGGCTGTTCCTAATTTGTTCCATGAATGTTTGTGCAAACTTAAACCTTTTCTACCCACATTTTGTACTTCTTCAATGCAAGTGTTCAATAAGAATTTTGTTTGCTCATTGTTCCATGTATGTTTATCTGCCATTGCTAATAAAAAAAACCATATGGAATACATACTTTAGCACACATAACCATATACCAACAACTTTCAGCATAATTACAACTTGTAATGATGAAAATAATCAATTTCAACAAAGATTATTCATATTTCAGCAACAATTATGACACTTCAGCAACATTTTATGACATTTGAACAATATTTCATGACGTTTCAGCAACAATTTGTGACATTTCAGCAACAATTTGTGACAATTCAGCAACAATTTGTGACATTTCAGCAATAATTAGTGACAATTCAGCAATAATTCAGCAATATTTCATTACAATTAAGCAACAACATATGACATTTTAAGCACAAATTGAAGAAATTGGGGCAAGAACAAAGATTCAAGAACAACTATTTGATATAAGGCATGAACTATTTGATAAGATTAGCACCAACAAGCAAATTCAAAGATTCAACAACAAAAATCAAACAATTAGTATGAAGCATGAACAATGAAGTAAAACACCAACAAAATCGAATTGTTGAAATATTCAAGACAATCGCTGCCTTCAGCAGCCAAAAACGAAAAAAAAAGAACAAGAAAACAAACCTGGAAGGACGACCGACGGAAGGGGAGAGGCCGGTGGGGGTTGCGCCGGAGGTGGCTGCGCCGGTGGTCGCTGCGCCGGGTGGTCGCTGCGCCGGTGGTCGCTGGTCTGAGAGGACGCGAGGTCGAGAGAAGGTAGGACACGATCGACTTGCTGGAAGAATGGAGGTGGCCGCTTTTTTTTAGGGTTTAGTTTTGAAGAGGTTAGAGGCAATTTTCAAGTGCTGTCCCAAGCAGAGAACGGGAAGAGGTTTTTAATTTCGAAGGCTGCGAAAAAACAAACAGCTGCGGGAAAGAAAGTGCTGCGCGTGTGCTGCGCCGCGCAGCACGAAGAGGTTTGAAGAGGTTTTTAATAAAAATCAAACAGCACCTTACTGTTTTAAAGTTTAAACGATATCTGGCTATCATGGTGGGACCACTTTTGTAATATCGTTATTGTATAGGGACTATTTCTGTAATTATTTTTACATGGACCACTTTAATGACTTTGCAATCGAACAATTTCTATAACTATTTCCGGACCATTTCTAGTTTTTTCCAAAACAACTTCTATAACTTTGTGACTAGGTATTTTTGTAATTTCTTTGAAAAATGAAGGCCTCTTTTGTATTTTTTATTTTTGTTATTTTTGTGGAAAGGATAATAGTAAGGGAAAATGACATAAAAGCCCTTAAGTTTTCATAAAAATGTCGGTTTTACCCTTGGACGTTTTTAGGTGCAGTAAAGTCCGAAGTTTTGTTTAATTTGTTCATTTATACCCTTGTAGCCGGTTTCCGGTAACCTACCGGTTACCTAATGCCAATAAAGCCCCTGAATTTTCAAAAATCTTCGGATTTACCCTTACGTTTTTCAAAAATGTTCGGATTTACCCTTACCTTGATTGTTATTTTGATGATGATGATGATGATGATTATTATTATTATTATTATTATATTTTTAAATGTATAAATATATTTTTACTATTATAAATATATTTTTTAAAATATATATACTTGTATTTAGTATTTATATACATTTGAAAGCCCATGTATTCCTTTAGAAACATATTTATATATTAAAAATGTATTTATTTGTATTTAGTAGGAATAAATATATATTTATTTCGTATAAAAATATATTGTATGTATATAAATATAAAAATGCATATTTATATGGTTTATATAATATAAAAGATATAATTATATGTATTAGTACATATTACCAAGTATAAATATGTATTTATTTCATAATTATATGCATACAATAGTTTTTATACAGAAGAAATGCATATTTATATCTATTAAATATAAATAAAAATATTTTGAAATGTATAAATATGTTTTATTTGTATTTAATACATATAAATATGTTTTTAAATGTATAAATACGTATGTATGCGACCCGAGAGTAGCATGGTCCATTTGAGTTGAATGACATCAGAACAATTGGATAGACAAAATGAGAAAAAGGATACTTATGATTTATATTAATATATTATAAGTTCTAATATATTAATATGAAATCATATTATTTAATTAGTACTGATCAAGAATTAATTTAGAATTAATTTAGTGATAAAAAAGGAACTAATTAAATATGGACTCTTATTTATATATATGATGGGCTAAGTTCATTTAGGTTGGGCTAAGCTTTCATGGATAGTCCATGGAGTTTTTTAACCCATGGATCCTATGGAAATGAAAGGTCATGGGTATTAGGGTTTACATGAATGTAACCCTAATCCTCCACACTTTATAAAAAGGCCTCTAGTTCATGAAATTGACACTAGTGTATAGTAAACAAGAGGGCAAATCCGATTTCATAAGAGTAAACATAAGTATTCTTCTTCTCAAGTTATTCCAAGAGTTTTTGGTGTTGTGTGAACCATTTGAGGTGCAACACTTGGGGCACTAAGCTCTTAAAGGTTCAAGACTTCAAGCTCCATCAAAAGGTATGTCATTCTACTAGATTCTTGTATTGTATATACTTCATATTATGCTAGTTAGGATGAAACCTTGGAATATTGAATATTTGCATGTATAATAGAGAAAACATAGATCCAAGGTTTATAGAGTTGCATGTACACCATAGGAGTGTTAGAATGCTCAAAACTCATCATTCCAGTGGTTTTATATTTTGAGAAAAATACATGTTTTGATATATCTTTACTCTATGGTACGATATTAAACAATGATTTTGATGATTATGGTTTATGAAACTATTTTGTTTGCTCTTAAAAATGAAAATTTTTATTATGGTTTTTGGGACGTTACAGTTCAACAAAAAATCCAAAACGCAAGACAGTGGAGGAGATCAATGATGGTTTTAAAGGAGATTGGTGGTGGTGTTGTAAGAGATCGAAGGTGATGTTGAAGTTGATTAGCTCGTTTTCTTTCGTTTAGTGGTTCCAGTAGAGCAATTTGTGTGATTTGTGAACGGTGGAGTTGATCGGTGATAAGGAAGTGGTGGGTGAGAGAATGACATAAGGAAAGTAGAATGAGGAAGTGGACATATGGGGTTATGTTTTTTAGGTTTTCTTTTCCATGCTAGGAAGGTTACAAATGGCTTGTGTTGTCGGAAAAATATAAAGTAAAGGGGAAGGGGAAGAGGTAGTAGACGGATCAATCATGTAGGGACTATGGTCGGAGGCGTTCCAACGTGGTGATGCAGGGGATGATAAAGAGATGCATTAAGTTGAAGGTAAAAGATGGTTTTGGGTTAAAGGAATGGAATGGGTCGTTAGACTTTAATAAAATAATAAATTTTAATAAATTATATAAATTATGGGCAAAGTAGTAATTTTAACAATAGTTAACGTCCAAAACTAATGAATTAAGATTTTGGGACTAAAACCATATCATAGAAAAAGACCATTTATGCGAGTGAATATTTTTTTGGACCTTACCTGAAAAAATAAGCAAACCACAGGGACCATTATCCAGTTTTGTAATTGTATAATGTATAATTTACAGATCTAACTTCATTCATATGACCAGAACGAGAACAGGGCTCTTTCGATTCCCCTCTCTTCCTCCAAGTACAACTCTCCATTCCCCTCTCTTCCTCCAAGTACAACTCTCAAACCTTGTTATCACTCGCTCTTTCGATTTCTTCGTCAACCTTCAATCATGGTGCTCGAGGTACGTTTTCAGTTTTACCATATATTCTTCTATTTCAAAAAACTAGGGTTTTAATTTGTTATTGAAATCAGGCTACGATGATCTGTATCGATAATTCAGAATGGATGCGTAACGGGGATTACTCACCCACTAGGTTTCAAGCTCAAGCCGACGCTGTTAATCTCATTTGTGGCGCTAAAACCCAGGTAATTTGATAATCAATCATAGGGCTTTTGTTTTGTTGTTGCCAATAGTTTAAATCGTACGCAAATGTTTTTGATTGGGAAAAGCTTTCAGTAGATTGGGACGATGAATTGTGTAGTTCTAGACGATTGGCTACCAGTTTTTTTCTGTTTACATGAGTTATATTCATCTGTCGGGGCTTATTCTCTGATGAGAAACTGAAATATTGATGTTGCAGTCTAATCCTGAAAATACTGTGGGCGTATTGACAATGGCTGGCAAAGGCGTTCGTGTTCTTGTCACTCCTACTAGCGATCTTGGCAAAATCTTGGCGTGCATGCATGGTTAGTTTCTTTGAATGATTCGAGTATTTACTTACAATCTACAACATATTAGTATGAAGTTTCAAGTGCTGAAATTTATTCTTCACTTACTCAGGCTTAGAAATAGGAGGTGAGATGAACTTAGCAGCTGGGATCCAAGTTGCTCAGTTAGCTTTAAAGCATAGGCAAAACAAAAAACAGCAACAAAGGATAATTGTGTTTGCTGGAGGGTATGTAATATGTATAAGGTCCTTTTACTTTACATTTCATCTTCTGATTTTCTTCCTCTTATTAACAAACAATCAACATTTATTGGTTTTGGATTTCAGTCCTGTAAAATACGATAAGAAAGTACCGGAGATGATAGGGAAGAAGTTAAAGAAGAACAGTGTAGCTCTTGATGTTGTGAACTTTGGTGAAGAAGATGAATCAAAGTCAGAAAAGCTTGAAGCTTTTGTTGCAGCTGTAAACAACAATGACAGCAGTCACATTGTTCATGTCCCAGCTGGATCAAATGCTCTTTCTGATGTTCTTTTAAGGTTATTTATTATAATTATAATTATAATTTCTTTTTCACTTTCTCAACCATTATATATATATATTTTTTGGGTGATGAATGTTTTACTGTTGTTAGTACTCCAATCTTTACTGGAGATGGAGAAGGTGGAAGTGGATTTGCAGCTGCAGCAGCAGCAGCAGCAGCTGCAGCTGGTGGTGTGTCTGGTTTTGACTTTGGTGTTGACCCGAATCTTGATCCTGAGCTGGCACTTGCTCTTCGTGTTTCCATGGAAGAAGAAAGAGAAAGGCAAGAAGCTGCTGCTAAAAAAGCTGCAGATGATTCTTCAAAGAATGAAGGAGGGGAGTCTAGTTCACAAGATGCAACTATGTCTGAAAATCTTGGGACTTCTGAGAATAAAAAAGATGATTTAATGGTTACTTCTTCTTCTTCTTGTTTTTTAACTTTTAACTTTACCCTTTTTGGTAATTTTTTCTAATAATGATGAGGTGGCAGGATGATGAGAATGCATTGCTGCAACAAGCTCTTGCCATGTCAATGGATGATCCTGCTGCTGCTGCTGCTACTGTGACAACAAGGGATGCTGACATGTCACAGGTAGCTGCTGATGATCAAGATTTGGCACTTGGTAAACTAACTTATAGTCTTACTATCAATATTAATTAAGATTTCTTGATATTTTTAGAATTAATTTTAATTTGCAATTTGTAGCTCTACAATTGTCTGTTGAAGAAGGTGGAAAAGATGGATCAGGATCAGGGCAAGCAGATATGGGAAGGCTTTTGGCTGATCAGTCATTTGTCTCATCTATTCTTGCTTCTGTATGTTTTTTTTTTTTTTTTTTTTTTTTTTTTTTTTTTGTGAATAGAAAAAAAAAAAAAATAATAATAATAATATAAAAAATGGAGAGAAATTGATTATTTGGGATGTTTGTTGGTTTTGAAGCTGCCAGGAGTTGACCCGAATGATCCTTCAGTGAAGGATTTGCTTGCTTCAATGCAAAATCAGCCTGAGGTTAGTTATAGTTTAAACTTCAAAGATGGTATTTTTATTTTTAATTTAAATAAAAAATAATTTGATATTTTATCAGTCTGAGCAGAAGAAAGAGGAGGATAAAGCACCCAAGGAAGATGACAAGTGATTTTTGGTGTTGTTTATCAACTTTAATCATGTCATGGCACTTACTTGGATTTGTAAAAGATAAGATGATCATTAATTTCTCATCTTTCAATGGATAATTTTCAAAGTGGATATTGTTTGTGATTTCAATGTTGTTACTTGTTGCTTGTGTCTAGTTGTCTTACATGATATTGAAATTGTTTTAAGTATGCTGTTTAGGGAAAAGGAAAGAGGCTACAAAAGTTCTTTAATGATTATAACTATTGAAAATTACATTTTAAATGTACAAGTTCCTTATCTAAGAAAGGATACCATCTTATAAAATAAGATTCAAACACCCACCAAGACCTTTCCTAGGGGTAAAATCGTCCACAATCTATTCAGGGGCAGAATTGTCTATTTTGCCAAATAGTCTCTGTAGTTCCTAACAGCCACAAGATGTTGATGTTGAGCAATTGCTTATGACCAACAAGCTTGATTGGACCACTGGTGACTATGAAAATAGACTACAGAAATCTAGGTTATCCTTGTTAGGAAAGGTGAATGCCTTGGATAAGGCCATGCTCTTTGGCTTCTTCAAGTGCTATGTTAAGTCCTTCAATCGCTAGGATGAAAAGAAAAGGAAAGAGAGGGTCTTTCTGTGAACTCTCCTCTTGAGTGAAAATTCTTTGGACGTTGAACCGTTGATTATTACAGAGTCACGAGCTGAACATAGGCATCAATTGCACCATTTTTACCAAAGTTCATCTATGCCATGACAAAGTCGAGATAATCCTAGTTGAGGCAGTTGAAAACCTTCTCAAAGTCGACCTTAAGTAAGAATGCTTTGTGTTTGTTTTTATGAAGCCAATAAAATGGGCAAGTCGTATCCCTATTGTTTGAAGAAATTACATCGATAATCCCTTTTCAAATCTCTCTCTCTCTCTCTCTCTCTCACACACACACACATACACAAACATCTTTCTCTCTCTCTCTCTCTCTCTCATGTTGTTGATGTAGATGCTTGATCCCTCAGCATACAAGACGCGAACCCCACCTTTGTCGCCTCAGGGCAAAAGCTCGTGCGTTGGGCATTCTCCATGTCTGCAACTCAACGATGACTAGTGATGGGGCCCCTAACCCCAAAGAACTCAAGCGCACCACACGCCTTGAACTCCCGAACCGAGGGAGCTCGAGCCCCAATCTGACCCACAACGATCTCGGCTCAAAAAGACCCGAGCCGCTCCTCCATAATCTCCATGACCCTTTCCTTGACGGTACCAAAGATCACCGGGGTAGCGTCAAGTATGCCACGAGTAACCTTAGCCGCGATAAGATCGCGTAGCCTCTCATCAATGGGCTCTACACCAGAGCCTGAACCTGATCCTGATCCTGAACCCGAACCTCCTCGCGTAATCATCACCATCCTCAACTGAAAAATACAACATAAATAGCAATTGATAAAGAAGTTCAAAGGGATTCCTCCTCACCAGACTCCTTAGAGCCTCCATGTCTGTCCTTGTTTCGGGTACAGGTCTTGTGTTTTCAGTAGTACGGGCCCAATACTACCTTCCACACCTACCTGTACCTTCCCAAAGGCCATACCTGATACCTCTAATTCACCCAACCACAAATAACATGACCCACAGAACAAAACACAAACTCAGATCCTAGACTATTCTAGGATTTCTCAATCCTTACCGAACCATAAACTTAAATCAATCATAGTAGGTTGCCCTATGCATGCAAGTTATACACAAATAGAATCACATAGACTGTCAAATAAAGCTTCTATCCTAAACCACAACCAAACAAGGAACAAGAATAAGGCAGAATCCATCATTCTAGGGCTATGCAATCCTAGACATATACAACTTTGAAAGCATACACTTAGCAAATAATATATTCGACATCAATTTCCAAGAATATATCTATAGCATGGCTAATACATTGGGAACACTTACTTGAGCTCGGCCGATTAAGCGCATTGCACTCTCCCCCTTTTACTTAAGAAAACCGTTTTCAGGAAAAAAAACAACTTTTGTTTCTTTTGAAAAAGGGTTTACCATTTCCTCAGTTTGAGTTCTGACACATCCGAGAGAGTGCCCGAATCCCTCAAACCAAGACTCCGATACCAACTTGTAACAGCCCGGAAATTCAAATAAAAATTTTTCATTTAATATTCAGAAATCACAATCATATTTGTTTTCCCAAAATTTCATTACATAAACTTTTGTCCATAAGATCAGAGTATCTAAAACAAGAAATGCAGAATATTAGAGAGTGCCTGCTGCGCCATCAAGTCGGGCCCTTGCCCTTAGACCCCGAAGTACCTAAAGCATCCAACAAACTGTAAGCAAACGCTTAGTGAGTTTCTCAAAATACACAAACATATAACCATATAATTCCATGCAACATACATATAAGATTGTCATGGACTCCGTCTATGGTCTTCACCGGGAATGTCATGGGCTACCCCCATGGTCTTACACCCATGGGCCATGGGCACCCCCCAATGGTCTTTATCGTCATAACATGCCAGATAACAAGCCATTGCATACATAACTAATAAAATCTCATATCAAGTAATGGACCGACATTGGTGCCTTCGACCCATTGGTATAGTGAAAAGACTCACCTTAGTCTATTGATCACAATAGCTGCTCGACTCTACCAGCCCAAAATCCCAAACTGAACAATATATAAATAACCCTAATTAGGATCATGACACAACCTAGTCATAGGCCCAAAATCCTAAGTCCAAGTCCCTCCATAATGGCCCAAAGGCCTTTCTTTCACTAATGGGCCTAACATACAAATCCAATTCTATATTGGGCTACAAGGCCCAAAAGGCCCAACATGCCAATAATGGCCCAAATAATAAATCCAGGCCCACAAATTCAGCTAGTCCAGGCCCAAACCTTTAGGTCCCAAAGGTTCGAAGCTCCACCGGAAGCCCAAGGTTCTCTGAGAGCGTACGCCCAACATACCTCTTCAGTACACTTAACGTACTGGGTTCATGAGCTGTACGCGCAACGTACAACATAGTACGCCCAGTGTACTAACCGTCTTGCATCAAACTCCACTAAGTCCTTAATGCATTAAGACTTTTCACTCAAACTTCAGATCTTAGACGTGTTAAGGGTCATAAGGCATAAAATTGGCAACTTTATGCCTTTGCATGCCATATATGCTCCCAACCACCCATTCTATCTCATTAAGATTTCTTGATATTTTTAGAATCAGTTTTGTGTTAATTTAATTTGCAACTTGCAGCTCTACAATTGTTTGTTGAAGAAGGTGCAAAAGATGGATCAGGATCAGGGGAAGCAGATATGGGGAAGCTTTTGGCTGATCAGTCATTTGTCTCATCTATTCTTGCTTATGTATGTTTTTTTTTTATTTTTTATTTTTTTGTGAATAGAAAAAAAAAATAATAATACAAAAAATGGAGAGAAATTGGTTATTTGGGATGTTTCTTGGTTTTGAAGCTGCCAGAAGTTGCCCCAATGATCCTTCAGTCAAGGATTTGCTTGCTTCAATGCAAAATCAGCCTGAGGTTAGTTAGTTCAACTTCAAAGATGGTTTTTATTTTTAATTTAAATAAAAAATAATTTGAGATTTTATCGGTCTGAACAGAAGAAAGAGGAGGATAAAGCACTCAAGGAAGACAAGTGATGTTAAATACTCTTTGTTGTAACAATGGATTTGGATTTATCAGTTTGACTTTTGGTTTGGTGTTGTTTATCAACTTTAATATTTCAATCTAAATTTCATTCATATTGCTCTGCAAAAAAAAAAAAAATACATCAGGTCTAAAGTCTCACCAATTACACAACATCAAATCAATTATTAAAATTTTAAAGCAAGATCAAATCATATCCTTAAGATTGTAAAACAAGACCAATTCTATGTATGCCAATAAGAAAATTAAACATACATTAAAGTCGGCCTTCAATTATGAATTAAGATAGGAAATGTCAAGAGAAAACTTGCATAACGAGAAATTATAGATTTGTGATTGCTTACTTCTGAAATTTGGATTTATACATATGTAAAATTTAGTTCTAGGATTAAACAAAAAGGGAACCTTATCAGGGCAGGTCCTGAAAAATTAAATATTCTCAAAGGCCCAGTACAAACAACAAAAAAAGGGCCCTTACCTTTATGATAATGTTTTATTTTTAAACAAAAATATATAATGAAAAAATTGGGTCCTGTTCAGCTGCCCACTTTGCCCCCTCATGAACCTTATGAACACAAGAAATGAAAATTATATTTGATGCGAAATCTAGGGAAGACAATTTCAAGGAACCTATCGTAATTGAACATCCTTGGAGTTACCCAAGTGACAATATATATGATAAGTTGGGAACCAACTACTCCCATCTCCTCACTAATAACCAAAACGAAATATTCAACGCAATTAATACTTTGATATTTGAAAGAAAAAAATAACATTGAAATTTAATTTTCTAAAGAAATATTATCTTTATATATGTATTAGTAAAAATATGTACGAAATCATAGTCAAATATATCTGAATTCGTAGTCAAAATGTTCGAAACCATAGTCAACATAAAAAAAATATTAATATAGAAAAAAAAAAGTTGTGTACAAATATCTTAGAATGACTAGACGGGTGTCGAATTTGGTTGTGGACTGATGAAAATAAAAAGCCCTGATCCAATATGTGCACCTCTATCTCTAATTTTAAAAGGTAACCTATTTGTAATCTCATCAGCTCCAAAAATCCAAATATACACTTGTAACTTGTAAGCAGAGAAGAACATAGAAGAGAAAACGAAACGAAAATGGTTTCACCACGATCACGACACCCAGCTACAATGGAGAACCTCCCAGACGAAGTTTTGTCAGACATATTCATCCGGTTATTGGCAAAACAGCTTGCACAAATGAGGTGCGTTTGTAAAGATTGGAATGCTCTGTTATCTGAATCCTCCTTTGTAAAATCCCACCTCCATCGTTCTGTGCATATCAACCAGAAGATTCTTACGTTCTTCGGTGTTAGGGCTGACTGTACTTCATTCACTGCAAGCCCCTTTTCTTCTCCCGCTATCGAACTCGACAATTTTTTCAAATTCCCCGTTAATCTCGAATCTCAACCTGCACGTTGTTTTGGCAATGTCGTTGGATGTGTGAAAGGGTTAATATGTTTTAAGTATGAATTAGGTGATGATTATATCGTTTGTATTCAGAACCATTCTCTCTCCGCTTTCTTAACTCTTCCGCCATGTTCCATGGGGTCCTCCTCTGAATCAAGAAATACCAATTTCCGGTTTGGGTATGATCCCAAAACTGATGATTACAAAGTGGTGAAGCTTACAGAGATTTTCGAGCCACGAAGAATGGCACCAGTTGAGGTTTATAGCGTGAGAAAAGGTAAAGGTTCCTGGGAGTTGATATCTCAAAGAATTCCGTCACACCTGCAATGCATTAGAGATCAAGATTTAGTTTGTGTAGATGGGCGTGAAGGCCATCTTCATTGGCTTTGTTATACTTATATTGGTGGGAAGTTGACACAATTGATATTGGCATTTGATTTGGGTTCGGAGACATTCAAGGAGATACCTTTTCCAGATTCTTTAAGAACATGTTGCTTTGGAGACCGGTTGAATGTGGTGGGAGTTTTGGGTGGAAAGGTTTGTGTGATGTCAAGGGTAAGAGATACTGATTGTGAGGTGTGGGTGATGGATGAGTATTCATGGGTCAAACGTCATGTGTTTTCCGGGTTTAGTGGTGGTGATCAAATATTTCCATGTGGATTTACATCAAGCAATCAGTTTCTTTTTAGATCTACGAATGTACTTAATCGTTATGGTTTGTATGATCCAGTCACAGCCAAGACTAAAAACTTCAAGATTCGTGGAAGATCTTTTGGATGTAAAATTGTTGACCAATAGATTGAATAATTGAAGAGACATCATGATATGTAAAACTTCAATTCCTTACTGTCTATCAATTTTGATTAAACCCTAATTTAGATGATAAAAGTTGTTTTTTTAAAGAAGCCAAACATTTGTAGACTATGCTTTGGAGTTTGTATTATTTTCGTCTTCAAGTTTTTTTATAGTTTGGTTGGGTTCGTGTTTTAAATTTTAATTAAACCCCAAATATATATATATATATATATATATATATATATATATATATATATATATATATATATATATATAGGGGACAGTTAAAATAAAAACAGTAAATAGTGTGAGAACGTAAAAACACTTTTTTATGTTATTATTCTGTAGTGAATTTTGTATCGACAACTTTATGTCATTATTCAGCAAAGAATAAATGAATAGTCAAAGGTTAAAATTAAAATTATAATTTACTACAAAAATGTACATGCATAAGTTTATAATAGAATAATAACATTGTAATGAATATATGACTAATAGAAAGTTAATATTTATATTAGAATTACTTCAACAATACACATATACAAAATTCATTACAGAATAATAACATAAACATAGTGTTTTTACGTTCTCACACTATTTACTGTTTTTATTTGAACTTACTTCTATATATATATATATATATATATATATATATATATATATATATATATATATATATATATATATATATATATTAATGAATTATTAGTCTCATTGTGGAGGCGAAGCTTTTATTTTAGATTGGATTGTATGTATTTGGTTGTTTGCAGTGAAGTAGTAAGATCTAGATTGAAGTATGTCGTATTTATTGGAAGTTGATATTTGTTAAGGAACTTTGAAGGAAACTTCTCTCACTATCAAATAGGAAGGGAAACAAAAATTTTAGGGAAAATTACGCAAAGGCCCTACTATGTATTTCAACTTTACCTTTTCAGTCATTAGAGTTTTTTTCGTACCTTTTAAAGGAACAAACTGTTTTTTGTCGAGTCGATTTGATCACTTTTGACAAAATAAAGGGGTAACCTAGTTACACATTTGCGACACATACACATAAAATATCTCTCTCTCTCTCTCTCTCTCTCTCTCTCAAAAAGGTCTAGTAAGAACAACCCAAGAAGATCCTGTTGCAGGAATGGAACAGAAAAAATGATAAAATCTCATCGGATAAAATCATAAAAAGGTAAGAGTTATAGCAGAAGTACACACCCATGAACAACTTGAATTAAGAAGGCATGGAGCGTTTCTCTTTGGCCCAGAAGTTGGCTATAGCTGACAGTGAGGGTGCAAACGAGCCCGAGCCGAGCCTTTGGCCCAGAAGTTGGCTATAGCTGACAGTGAGGGTGCAAACGAGCCGAGCCGAGCCTGGTCAGGCTCGGCTTAGGCTCGTTTAAGTTATACGAGGCTCGAGGTCGAGCTCGGCTAGATTCGAGCTTTCTTGTAGTGAGCTTGGCTTGACCTCGTAAAGAATTATATAAGATTGGCTCGGGCTCGAGCTCGGCTCGTTTTTGTCTAACGTGCCTAAATGAGCTTAAGCTCGGTTTATGCTCGTTAAGAAGCTCGTTTACTAATACCCAAAATCCCTAATTCTCCAAATATTATTTATTTTAATATATATAAAAATAATAATCAATCATATTATATATAGGCTCGTTTAGGCTCGCGAGCCTAATCGAGCTTAGTGACATAGGCTCGAGCTCGAACTCGTTTAATAAACGAGCTTAATATTAAGCTCGAGCTCGGCTCGGGCTCGTTTAAAATTGGTTTCGAGTCGAGCTTTTACTGAGTCGATCTCAAGTAGCTCACGAGTAGCTTGACTCGTTTGCACCCCTGGTTGACAGCACCTCTACACTTCCACCAAAGTTGCTATGACTAGTCTTAGGTGCTGTTTGTTTTTTTTAAGAAAACCACTTCAGACCACTTATTGCTGTGCCGCACAACACACGCGCAACACTTGGCCTTTTGCAGCTGTGCTGCGTGGCGCAACACTAAACCAACTGCTTCAAATCTCTTCGCGCCTTACTTTAACTTACTGCAGACGTTAAAAAACAAACAAACTTTTTATTAAATGTTGCAGCTGTTTGTTCCACCTCTGCTGCTACAGAGGATTGCAAAGATGGTCTGCAGACTTCAGGCATTTTCGCTTCGAAAAAACAAACAGCAGCGGCTTTTCAACAACTTTCTCAGCCTTCCCCGTTTCGTCATCTGTCTTTTTCTTTGGGGATTTGGACTTGGACTTTTTCGAGCTTTCAGTCACAATATCCTCAGAGTTCTTCGACTTCATGGATCTCTTCTCCTTCTTTGATCCATCATCTGGTAACAATACCCCAACAGTCTCATTTGAATTAACACCCATCAAGTATTTGACCAATACAGGATGTGTAGGATCAATTTTCTTTAGCATCGCATCAGGGATTCTTCCAATAACCGGAAACTCATCTTTGTCATCCTCCACAGACTTAGGAAAATGATACTTGTTGAATTCAACAGTTGGTTCATTGTCAGGAACCTGAATCCCCTCCTTCTCGTATACAAACTTCAAGATCAAACTCCAATACCTCGCACACGAAATGCCCTTCACGACATTCGTGTTTTCCACACTTTTAATGAACTCTTTCCATAACTGAGTGGCAAAGTCCACACTCAGATCGTAGTACAACCCCATGACCATTGCATACACTTCCAATCTTCCTTTATCAAGACCAACACTTCGTCCAGTAAGGCAACGAAGGTAAATTCCAAATAGGAAATTCCAAAGGCAAGGAAGTCCTGATTTCTTGAAATCACTTATCTTCTTGAGTGGGGGCTGGTGACCCATCTTGTTGAACATATGCATAATTTGTGGATTTGTTGGCTTGAAAAATGGAGGCGAATTGGGAATTTCCAAAACCCTAGTAAAGATCTTCTTTGTCAATCTGAATTTCTTGTCATTGATGAGATTGAACGTCAACACATCCATGGCCTTGCTATAAGTTGCATTTGATCCGGCCATACATAACCAAGAAAGTGGAACAGCAAACGAGTTAAACATTGTTGTCGATAACCCAGAGTGTTTCAGAGCAACTATCAGCATCTCCAGTTCCTCAGGATAAAGGGAAACATCATCCTCAACCTGGTAATTGGTGCTCTGGATCTTCATGATCGGGTTGGATGTTACTTCTTCAGTGTTGGTGGTTTGTGTGGCAGCCATTGTTAAGTTATTGAAAGCTTTTGAAAACAGAGAGAATTTAGGGCTTTTGTGCTTGTGAATTCTTTGATCGCGTAAAGTATAAAGGAATGTTTGAAATCCTTTATATATGTTGCCCCGATTATATGGTAACTATCATCATTAAAGTCTTTACCAGGTCTTCCTTGAAACTCACAATACTAGCCGTTACAGTGGCCATGTCAGATAAAGCACTTAGAAAAATGGGTCATGTTGCCAAACAGTTACATCAGATTGTTCGTGAGTACAAAGTACATACGACCAAAAACCTTCGTCATAGAGGTTGGGCTCTTTCGTTTTTGGGTTTAGAAACGAAGCCATGTGCCAGTCTTGTAAAATCTTCAGCCTGAGTTGGTATTACTCAGAACCTCAAGGCTTTCGTGAGTGCAGTGTGCCAATGAATAAGATAAGAAGCAATTTTAACAAAAATTTGGATCTATGCTGTCGAAAAAAAATTATTTTCGACAGAAAAGCAGTTAAACCCCGGGCAAAGGTTGCATTGTTAATTATCAAGAGAGATAATCAACTGCTTGTGTAGTTTCCCGTGAATTACAATCGAATACTTATAGAGAAGTATCGAAGGGCTTCTTTTAATAAGCAACACAGGTGGCTTTTGAAATTTTCGTTACATATCAACCTAAACATAAGGTGAGTAATTGTAACCGAAATTACTTGTTTGATCAGTGTAATCAGTGACAAGTATGCTTTGGAAATGTTAAAGTGACTTTGGACAAACGAATGATACTCATACAGAAATCATATTCTTAAAAAAACCTGTAAGCTGGATCTTGTTGGGAAACAAATGTCGTGGGTTTCGAACATTTGATCAAGATCACTCAAAAGAAAATAATATGATTTTGAGTATACGAAATTTGGTACTGAAACAAATGTTTCGTAAAAATTTGGAACAAAGTTCCCCGTCAATTCCTTATTGATTTTTCGAAAGATTGGGTTTCACTTTCATCACGGCCTCATGATGTTAGATCATAAACACAGAGTTCTGATATGTCTAAGTCTTGATTGGTTTGATCAAAGACCTCTTTGACATATGTCATTGTGTGTGTGATGTTTAAGAAATTTTTCGATGAAAAAGATTGGTTCAAGAATCGAATGTACCTCTGTTATTATTAGACCAAACAGAAAACTCTTAACTCATTTGAGAAGAGTAAGGTAGCTCAGTTGACTAATGTGAATACAAGCCTGATTGGGAAGAAACTTTCGTTACGAAAAATTTCATTAAGGCTTTCAAAATCACACATTGAGTCATTGGAGGCTTGGGTCGACATGCTGCAGCATGCTTCTAGGCACATCTTAACTAGTACAAAGTTTGAAAGATTTACCTTCCCTTAGAAATGCAAGCACGACCCTTGAAAGATATTCTTTAAGTCTGCACATCTAAACAAAAAAATAATATACAAAAGAAAATCTTTTTGGATTATATATTTTTGAAATAAAAGAAAAATATTTTTGTGATTTTGGATTTTTCGAAAATTAAGACAAATAACAAATGAAAATCTTTTTGGTATTTTTGGTATTTTTGAAAAAATATACAAACTTACGAAAATATTTTTGGTTTTTCAATTTTTCAAAAAATAAAGGACAAACTAACGAAAAGTTAAAATGTACCAAACTAACGAAATTGCTCAGTTCCAATTTACGAAAACGAAGCGTGTCGAAGCGCTGACTGTGAACAGTAACCTCTGAACAGTTAATACGATTAGCCTCTGAATGCTTCATTTTTCCTGTGAATCAACACTTTTTCGTTTGTTAAGAATTCGTTAATTTTGCAAATTTCGTCCTG